GTTGGATAGAAGACCTCCACAGTCCCTTCCAACTCTGGTTTTCTGTAAGTTCTATATAAGTCAAGATTTCTACCCTGGGATTTGGCATAGCTCAGTTGTGGCAAACCTATGGCACGGGTGCCAGAGGCGGCACTCAGAGCCCTCTTTGTGGGCACGGGCGCTGTTGCCCCAGTCCTAGGCCTTCAGCTGAGTTTTATAAAACCTTTTCGCTTTAGGCCTCCGCCACCGTGTGCAAAAAAAAAAAAAAAAAAAAGGTTCAATCAATCAGTCAATTTCAACTTCTCATGGGGAAAAAAAAGATCTTGCAAAGTTGGAATTGATTGATTGAACTTTTTAGTCCCACCGAGTCTGCCGTTACCACTGCAGCCACGCCCACCCAATGGGCCACACTCACCCAATGGGCCACACCCACCTGGCACCCGACAATGCATAAGTGGGTTTTGGGTTGCAGTTTGGGCACTCAGTCTCTAAAAGATTCGCCATCACTGGCATGGCTAATTCAGATTTTTTGGAGAACAAGCATTTGATAGAAGTGGGTGGGAAATAACAGAGGATGTAGCTGGAGAAATTTTTTTTTTTTATTTCTTAGTGAAAGTGATAAGTTGGAATACAAAATGGATTCATTTGATTAAGGTTAAATCTATCTATCTATCTATCTATCTATCTATCTATCTATCTATCTATCTATCTATCTATCTATCTATCTATCTATCTATCTATCTTCTTGTTGTTTTTCTGGTAGCCCTAAAAGAGTTTTGCTGGTTAGGGCTGAATAATATGTTTTTACAATTGTTTTGATTGATAAGAGATGGATGAAGGGAATTTTTTAAATTAAAAAACTAGAGAAGGTGTTAAGCTACCGAGATCGTTTAATATTTGTCTGAATGGAGGAGAAAATTATTTTTTTAAATATATTTTCTCTTATTCTTTTTTTCTTTTTCTCTGCACTTTTCCCTTAATTTTCTTTGCTTTTTAAACTCTTCTTACTTTGTGTTAGTGTTCTAATCATTTACCTTTAAAGTTTACAAATACCTTGTACTGGTAAACTTTAACAAAATTATTATTTTAAAAAGTGTTCTAATTCCACAATCTCTGTCCTTTCGTCTCTTCTTGTCCATCTTAGAAGTTTTTGCAGTCTCTGTTTCCACATCCTGCTAAAGGCGTGGAGGTTTCTCCTGGCTGCCTTTTCCTGCCTTTCATCGGGATCCCCCCTTCTTTCCTTTGTCCAAAAGAAATGCAAAGACACTGATCTATTTTGCTTGACGGCAGGTTTTCTCAGCTTTTAGAAACAACCAGTATCGACAGAATTGAAATCCGGTGGGTTTGAATTTCAGGCATGGCCTTTTCCGACTCAGCATGAAATGAGTTTCAAATCTCTTTTTTCAGCACCTTTCGGCCTGGGCTTCAGTTTCCAACTTGGTGCAAGATGCCTTCCACAGGCGCCAAAGTATCTGACTCACATTTCTTTAGTATTTCCAACAAAATGAATGCTGCTGCCTGGTTTTGTTTATACTGTACTGTTAGAGGAAGGAAGGAAGGAAGGAAGGAAGGAAGGAAGGAAGGAAGGAAGGAAGGAAGGAAGGAAGGAAGGAAGGAAGGAAGGAAGGAACAACCTGCCTCCAGAAGTGGTGAATGCTCCAACACTGGACGTTTTCAAGAACAGCCACTGGACAGCCATTTGTCTGAAATGGTATAGGGTTTCCTGCCTGAGCAGGGGGTTGGACTCGATGACCTCTAAGGTCCCTTCCAATTATTATTATTATTATTATTATTATTATTATTATTATTATTATTATTATGGAAGGGAGGGGGAGAGGGAAGGAGAGAGGAAGGAAGAAAAAGAAAGAAGGAAGGAGGAAGGAAAAGAAGGAAGGAATAAGGGAAGGACAAAGAAAGGGAGGAAGGGAGGGAGGAAGAAAGAAAGAATGAAAGAGGAAGGAAGAAAAAGAAGAAGAAAGAACTAAAGAAAGAAAGAGAGAGATACAGAGAGAAAGAAAGAAAGAAAGAAAGACAGATAGACAGAAAGACAGAAAGAAAGAAAGAAAGAGAAAGAAAGACAGAAAGAAAGAAAGAAAGAAAGAAAGAAAGAAAGAAAGAAAGAAAGAAAGAAAGAAAGAAAGAAAGAAAGAGCTAGGTCCTCCTGACATTTTCCATACCATAACTTGAAACACTCAAATATTTCTTTAACATTCCAAATATGATTCAAAACCAAAAAGCTTTTGGGTCCAGTCATGGGGAGGAATGTTGTTTTTCCTTATTCTTTAAAATTATTAAATGCTTTAAAAAAAGAAATCAAAGCAGTTAACTGTAACAAAGAGATAGAACCAACAATAACTCACCTAATCAATTGAAGCTAGTAAAATAGCCAGCAGACAGGCTGGAAAGCTCAACAAATGAGTCATTAAAAACATACCTCAGCTCAGAAAAGATTCATACGGCAGATTTGAAACGGTGAAAAGTTTATTATCTGGGGGGGGGGAAATGTTGGAAGGGGTTTCCCAAGTTGCTCAAAGTTTGCATTCACACTTAATTTGGTTCCTGCAATTAGCCTTCCTTCTGGATTTGCTGAGTACTTGGAAAATCAACCAACCAGATAAGGTGGATTCTCTCAACATGCTGAATCAGAAAATGAAAAGATTAAGCCAAGATGAAAACTGATCTAGTTTAGTATTTGTAAAATCCTCTGCCAGACGTAAAGACTCAGGATGATTTGTAAGGTTACAGCACATAAGATTTATTCAAGTTTACACACAAGACTCTAGTCAACTAACAACCAACGCTAAACTGGTGCTTAATAAGGCTCAACAAATTTTTAAGGGGGAGCTGGATTAGACTCTGTTGTGACAATGCAAGGATTCTAAACTTAGGTTCTCCTGCTTGAGCGGGCGATTGGACTAAATCAGTGGTTCTCAACCTGTGGGTCGGGACCCCATTTGGGGTCGAACGACCATTTCACAGGGGTCGCCAAACAACGCAGTCCACCATTTTTTCCCCCTTTTCCTTAGCTGTGCTACTCCCTTTTATTCTATTGGCTTTTGAAAGCCAATAGGAATTGTCCAGGCTGTCTCTGCCCCGCTGAGCCCGCCAAAAGCCCCATTCTGCAAACGGTGCTGTACCAGTTGAGTAGTCCTCGACTTACGACCGGTTGAGTAGTCCTCGACTTACGACCGGTTGGGGGGTCACGGCATTAAAAAGATTGAGAACCACTGGACTAGAAGATCTCCAAGGTCCCTTCTAGCTCTATTCTATTCTATCCTTTCCATGTAATTCCCCTAGGGACCATTTGTAACAAGCAGACTGAAAATGCCATTGTCAATGATCCTCTTTCCAGCAGTTTGTGGATTTTTTTTTTTTAAAAAAATAGCTAACGGCCACTACCGGATCTTTACTTACAATGGAGGAATGGTTGGTGAAGTTGACAGAATTTGCAGAGATGGAAAAAAAATTGACTTGTTGATTAAGGAAAAGACAATAGCTACATTTGTTAGTGACTGGAAACACTTTATGGATTTTTGTTGTTGTTGAAAATGGAAAAAAATGGACTTATGATTGATGGGAGACGTGATATAAACTTAGGAAGAGAGAAAATATAAATGTATTTATAACTACTATCTAGTTGGAAGTCACTCCTTCATATTTTTTTCTTTCTTTTTTCTATTTTTTCTTTATTACTTTCTTATCACTTTTTGCAAATTTGTATTATTTTTACTTTTCAAAAAACTTCTTTAATAGTAGTCATTGCAGCATCTTTGCAGTGCTTTGATTGTATGTTGCATGTTTCGCTTTCACTTTTCTGCCCTTCTGGTCATCAGTATTTGCCTGATAAAGTACATTTCACAGCTCTGGTGTGGGTTTCCTCAAGCATGACCTTCATCTATCTCTGTTTCTCCAAACTTGTCAACTTTAAGATGTGTGGACTGCAGCTCCCAAAATTCCCAGGGGGAAGAATTCTGGGAGTTGAAGTCCACACATTTTAAAAGTTGCCAAGTTTGAAAAACACTGATCATTCTAGACCAAGTTCAGTCATGGAGCTCCTCTCTCTCAGCCTAGCCATCCTACTTGGCCACATTAAGTTGTCCTATTCTGCACCGAGATGGCTATCCATCTGTCTGAATCCATTCAATAAAGGGAAGTCTGTTCCATGTCTGGGGATATGGTTCTCTTATCCAAAAGATCTTACTCCCCACCCCCTAGCATTTAATTAGATATCCCTTTCTGGAACTTCAAGATTGGCATTCCAAATTCTGTGCTCCTGGGATGTTAAAAAAGAGGTTGAAGCATTATCGTTCAAGTAATTTATCTATGGAAAATCCCTTCAAGTAATTTATCTATGGAAAGTCCTAGCATTAAGGCAAACCATGCCCAATTCCACAGCTCCCGATCTTCTCTATAGCTGTTGCATTTTTTTTCAGTATCTTTCAAAAAACGCAGTGTCCAGAATTGGACAAGTACTCAAGACGGGAGCCAACAAATGCCAAATAAAGTAGAGCTAATCCATCTTACAAGCATATTTTTGTTATTACAGTCTAAAACTGACATCTTTTTGCAGCCGGGTTACATTCCTGATTCACATTCAGCCCTCGATCAAATGCACTTGTAATGTTCTATTTGTGCATAACTAGCGTCCAGCTGTAGTTGTGGGTTTGACTTCTTCCTCCAAGTGAAGATGTTTGCATTTGTGTCTCCCAAGTTTCACTTTGCTGTTTTCAGGACATTTCCATAACCTCTTCAGATCCTTTGGAGTTTTGTTTTTGTTTTTTCCAATTATGGGTTGGGATCCCCAGAGGATCATGAGAAGCCTTGAGGGCAGAATCACATTTTTTTTTTAAAAAAAAAAATCAGCTTTGCGCAGTTTGAGTGGGAACACTGGCCTAACTCACTGCAAGATTTGATTCTCAAACAAGTTGTGGTACTAGAAAGTCTTGTGTTCACATAACACAAGAATTCTTGGGGTTTCTGGCTTGGGCTAACCCATGTTCTCCTCCTTTTTGTTCTTCCAGATTTATCCTGGTCTTCAGCTGTCTGATTTTATCTGTGTTTTCAACTATTCCCGAGCATCACACATTTGCCAATGAGTATCTCTTCATCCTGGTAAGGGAGCGCTCCTCTTTCTTTCTTCAGCAGCCTTCTGGGATTTTTCTCCTTATGTTGTTTGGTTAAAGCCAGACTGAGTCATCTGAGGTTCCACATGTTCTGAGAAACCAGCCATTGTCTCAGCCTGTTGGTTGAATGGTGGTTCTTTGAGCATTGCATGGCAAGTGACTCATATGCATTTTGCTTTCGTAACTGAGCTTTACAGTTTAGTGCATTGTGAACCCAACTTCTCTGTAGGTAAGTATGGGGAGAGAAGTTCTTATAGTCATTGTTTTTGATTGCTACAGAAGGGATGAGATTGGGCAAGTTTCTCAACTTCAGCTGCTTTAAAATGTATGGATTTCTTTACTCCCGGAATTCCCCAGCCAGCATATCCACAATTGTAAAGCCGCTGAGGTTGACAAACACTGATTGAACCATTGAAATATTTACATATAAAATATAAACTTCTAATATATATATATATATATATATATATATATATATATATATATATATATATATATATATAGTAGGTCTTTGGTTGTTCGGGTTTTCTCCCACGTAAAATTGGAAGTGTCTTGGCGACGTTTCGACGAAGTCCCATTCGTCATCTTCAGGCTGGTGTTTTCAGCTTCGTGCTTCGAGCAGCAATGTGTGGTCTTAGCTGTTTCTTCCTTTTAACTGCCAGTGGGGGTATGAACTGATGGGAGCTTGGCTGTGTTCTGATTGGGTGGAGGTGTGTTCTGAAGTTGTCTCAACTTCATGTTCTGTTTGGTTGTGCTCTAGTCTGAGTTGCAGAGGGGTTTAAGATTTTGGGCTGCCTTGTATCGCGATGCCTTCTTCATGGAGGGTGTCAGTTTGCTTCCTTTAAAGTGGCTAATGATGCATCTGGCTTAAAGTCTAGCCACTTTAAAGCCCTCCAATCCATACATGAAGCACTGCATATCCAAAACAATCTGTGAGCACAACCAAACAGAAACCAGCCAATGAGGTTCAGAGCACAGCCACAAACACTCAGAACACACCTCCACCCAATCAGAACACACCAAGCTCCCACCCAATCAGTTCATACCCCCACTGGCAGTTAAAAGGAAGAAACAGCTAAGACCACACATGTGAAAACACCAGCCTGAAGATGATAATGGGACTTCGTCGAAACGTCGCCAAGACATATTTTACGCGGGAGAAAACCCGAACAACCAAAGACCTACATACCTGTATATATATATATATATATATATATATATATATATATATATACACACATACATATACATATACATATATAAATAATAAATACTACATAATACTACATATATATGTGTGTGTGTGTGTGTGTGTGTGTGTGTGTGTATAGGTTTTCGCGGGTGTTTGTATGTAGGTCTTTGGTTATTCGGGTTTTCTCCCACATAAAATTGGAAGTGTCTTGGCGACGTTTCGACGAAGCCCCATTCGTCATCTTCAGGCTGGTGTTTTCAGCTTCGTGCTTCGAGGAGCACAAAACTGAAAACACCAGCCTGAAGATGACGAATGGGACTTTGTCGAAACGTCGCCAAGACACTTCCAATTTTACGCAGGAGAAAACCCGAATAACCAAAGACATATATATATATATATATATATATATATATATATATATATATATATATATATATATATGTGTGTGTGTGTGTGTGTGTGTGTGTGTGTGTGTAGTATTTATTTATTTTGCTGGAGTGGCTCTGTTGAGCTAACACGACAGTAAAAACAGTCAATAAAAAGGATCATTAAAAATTTTAAAAGCCCAGACATACCATCGCCTTGTCAAGCCATATCATAGCCTCTTCCAAGATGGGTGCATTTAGCATCCTAGCCTGAAGGCCTGAGGGAAAAGCAGGTTTTTAATGCTGTATAAAAGGCCAGCAGAGCTAGGACAAAATGAACCTCTGGAGACTAGAGGTATCAGTTCCAAATCATTCAGTTTCAAATAACCTGTCATCCTTCTTCAGGTAAACCAGACAGGAAACGGACACAATGAGCTAATTCAGTGTTATTGTAAGGCTACATTAACAGAATCTTACCGGTCCGAAAGCACGCATCTCCTGCCATCTCTTTCACAGCCAGAGAAATTAGCAAGGTTCTTTTCTGGATTTCTTTTTTCGGGCCGTTATGCAGCTGTGGGCTCCTTCGCTCTTATTTGACAGCTCCCTAGAGAATCTCCCTTCTCCTTCTCCCAAGGTCTTTTCCACATACCATTACACCATTATTCCAAAGAGTATTTCTGCAATGCATCATTACTGTTAAGAGTAGACTTTTTCCCTTTCGTATGGCATTATTTTAAGAATTTTTAAACACAAATTAAAATAAAAAAAGCGACTGTAGCTATGATATCCACAAAAATGGACAAAGCTTCACACTGTCAAGGCTCTATCTTGACTTTTTTTGGCCATACCCTGCTGGGGTATGGACACTCTGGAAGCTAAAGCAGAAATAGCCACAGAAGCTATTGACTGGAGGGAGGGGTAGTCTTGCAGGGGTTACCTAGGCTTTTTTGTGATGCAAACTCTGAATGAATGCATACGAGAGCTTGTCCCTTTCTCCAGTGGAAGCACCACTTTCCTGATGGATTTTGGACCATCTGGGACTGAGGACCTCTCCATTGTGAGGTCCTCTCTTTAAGAAATGAAAGAAGATCTTCTCAAACTGGGGCAATCCCGCTAGGTGGTGACAGAGAGAGCTTGGAGTTGATAAGAGACTCTACCAAACTCCTAGAAATTCCAGCCAAAAGACTTGGCTGGCCTTGGAAAAAGAAAGAGATCCTGAATGGTCACTCATTGGAACTCCTTGAGAACATTGGATGAACTCAGTTATTCCATCGCCCATCTCCTTGGCCTCTAAAATGCTTCCTGAGACACCGATTTAACCTGAAGAGTTTGGTTTGCAGGATGCCTATTCTGCTGCTAAAATCAGATGCTAAGCTTGACTTCTGGTAACTTTAGGGACTGATCTGTGCAGTACTTGAGTTTCAACGTCAGGATCTGGCCTTCTAAAGAGCAGTCGGGGTTGATCTCCTCTAGGACTGACCGGTTTGGTTGCCTTGCAGTCTAGGGGACTAGCGGGAATCTTCTCCAGCACCGTAGTTCAAAGGCCTCAATTCTTTGGCGCTCAGCCTTTCTTAGGGTCCAACTTTTGCAACCATACATTGCAACTGGGAAAACCATGGCCTTGACTATACACAGTTTTGTTGACAGGGTGATGTTTCTGCTTTTTAGTATGCTGTCTAGATTTGCCTAGTGCATTGAATTTCGATCACGTAACCACAGGGATGCTGAGATGCTTACAACTCTGGGAATTGGTCATAATTCATTTTGTCCCCCAATGCCGTCATCACTTCAAATGCTCACTGAAGAAATGGTCGTAAGTCAAGGACTACCTGTACAGCATTTGGGAAGGACGAGATAACCCTTTTCCGCTCCAGTGCAGCCACCCCCCCTTGCTATTAGCCCCAAAAAGGAAATCTCCCATTGACACTAATGAAAGGTTATGGCTGGGATTAATAGCTGTGTGTGGGAGAAAGTTAAAAGGGAAAGACTGATTTGGCAAGACTGGGGGGGGGGGAGGAAACCTCTGTCCTCACGTGTTGCAGCCCCTGGCAGAAAAGGCATACTTTGTGGCAGAAGGAGAGGAATATAACTGTTTATTAGATTTTTTAATTATTGATTTATTTCTCTAGTATCAAAGGGATGCCTGGCGTGTTTGTCAGAAAGCAGCAGTTTAAGGGGCACGCTCCAACTGACCGATTAAAGACAGCGAGAGTTTGAGTTTGGGCTTGTTTGCAGATAGATTTAAGAAGCTCCTGCAGAAATGAGAATTTTAAAGCCCCTGCAAGGAAAAGCAGCAAGGGCAATGAGGTGGTACTGATTGGGGAAGGAGAACTCCTCAGAGAGGAGTTAGTTGGATGATGAAGCTGGAAAAGTGAACATAATTGGCGGGGAGGCGCCAGGAAAAACAGAGAGATGGATGAAGGGACGGGAGGAAGCTCGGTCTGCAATAAAGGGACCAGGAACTGGGATAAGGTTTTAAGGAGGAGGCACTGCCAAGCAGGCAGAGGAAGGACACCAGATGGACCTGTCAGGGTTAGAAGGTGAAGAGACCAGCGAGGAGACAAGGGATGATCCACGAAGACAGGAGTCAGAGTTCAACAATAAATTAATAATAATAATAATCCCTGCAGCGTTCAGAAACACTCAGTGAAGCCTTCCCTGTTCGAAATAGGATGATCTCTTACTATGTCTTGGGAAGGGAAGAAGGACAGTCCTGTTTCATAGAAGGGACAGGCTGGAAGAAGAAAGACAAATAATTTGAACGTTTCAGCCATCAGCACAACTTGCTTGTTTTCATCTGCATAGGGAAAAAAAAACAAGTGACAGTTGGAAGGAAGGAAGGAAGGAAGGAAAGAAGGAAGGAAGGAAGGAGGGAGGGAAGAAAGGAAATGAAGGAAGGAAGGAAGGAAGGAAGAAAGGAAAGAAGGAAGGAAAGAAGGAAGGAGGGAAATAAGGAAGGAGGGAGGGAGGGAAGAAAGGAAGGAAGGAAAGAAGGAAGGAAGGAGGGAGGGAAGAAAGGAAATGAAGGAAGGAAGGAAGGAAGAAAAGAAAGAAGGAAGGAAGGAAAGAAGGAAGGAGGGAGGGAAGAAAGGAAGGAAGGAAGGAAGGGAAGGAAGGAAGGAAGGAAGGAAAAAAGGAGGAAGGCAAATCTCAGAAAGAAAGATATCTCTCTTTTTTAGCAACTTTCCCCCAAACTCTCAAAAAGAGCTGACGCTGGTTTTCTTCTAACTGAGATGAAAACTAAATTAAGAAGGTCCGTGTGACTTTCCCATAGTAAGCAAAATAGGTACCTGTTTGTACAAAAATAGAGAGGGAGGTGACAAGGAGGCCACAGCTGACACTGCAGGAAAACAGGCCTTTTCTGATTCATGCAAAGAGGGATGTGGCGAGACCAGTTGGGGGGCAAGACTGCAGGCCCAGTTTTTTGCTTTTCCCATTGGACCAGGAATGATGGACATTTGTGCCAGAGCCCGCCATCCAGGAGAAAAGCCGCTGGTGGAGCCCTTACTTTGAATGCAGCTTCAGGTAGGGCTGGGAAGATGGCGCCATTAAGAATAAAAACAATAAGAAGCATCTGCTGTTCAAAATAATCAGATGATGCACATACAGAAAGAATCAAATATGGTAATAATCAAATCGTAGTGTTAACCTGTGATAAAAAACTGAGGAATAAATAGAAACACGTTAAGAGATTTTAAAAAAGATGCCAGACTAGCCCGAGAGATGGAAGATTGCAGAATCAGTTTCTGGATTTAGCGCATCAATTTAACGCTGTCATCAAAAGGATTGATTGATTGATTGACCCTCATTTAGAATCCACCCCCCATCATCCTTAAACACAGACTGTATTAGCTAACCAGATAAGAAAGAGAACTCAGGAACAAGAGAGTTGATCCCTCAGGTGTGGTGGATTCTCCTTCAACTCTGTTGCCTTCTCCTGTTCCCACCACCCCACTTCTCTCCAATGTTCTCTTCCCCACCTTAAATGGTCACTTTTTGTCTCATCGGACCTGAATTATCCATCCTTTGTAGCCTCCCATTTACCCCGAGCAGTTTACCTGAGTAATTTCCCAGGGATTCAAGGCAAGGCAAAACCTCATAATCGGCCGACCAGTTGGTATTAGCCCCAGGCAACTTCTGAAAAGGCCACGTCAGGAATTATTGTTCCCCAGGGAACGTGGCACCCAAGGCAGGCTTTGCATGCCAGGTTTTCTCCTGACGTGTCCCCAAAATGTCTGTTCAAAAGTGAATTTATAGCAGCAACATGAAATGCCACCCTTTGTTCCATAGATGTCTTTGCTGAGGTCCTGCCTTTGTGTGGAGAGGATCAATGGGGTTGCAATGAGCACATTTATATTTAGCAAACAGTTCCTTATGCTATCCTGCCCTTTTGGAGTCTTCATTTCTGATTGTGGCCTCTATGCGGTCCGGTCAAAATGCTGGGTCATTAACACCACGGTTGCAACTATAAAAAAGAAGAAGAGAAAGGAAAAGAGTTCCTTGACAAGAAGAACAGAATTTTATCTGACCTTTCCTGTGACAAGTTTTTCCAAGTCAGTGGAAATTCAGATTGCTGAATGTCTTTGGAAACGGGCAAATGAGTTGTGAAATTCACAGGTTGTCCTTGTGGTTTATTCGACCTAGCCTTTAATATTCAAAGGTAGAATATCTTTCCCCTTTATCTTTTTAGTTCGTTTTATTTGCCACCTTTAAAATGCAGAAAATATTTCCAAAAGGAAAAGAAAGGGACGAAGAGGTGGAGGGACGAGGAGAAAAGTTAAAAAGAAAACAGCAAAAACATAATGTTGGGTATGGGAAATTATTCTGCCTAATGTTTCAAGACAAAACCTTGAGCACACCGAACAATATTGATTCGTCTTTGTGCTACATCAATGCAGAGTCAGTTTGTAAGCAAAAAGTGACCCTGTTATTAGCCATCCTGGATATTAAATCTGAGCTCACGCTGTCATCCCGACATTGAACAATAAGCCCATTGTTGCCCCCAATTAAATGCTCAAGTCTTCATACAGTGATACATCCATAAGTCTTCCCCTCACAATTTGAAAGTATGCCCACATCTTTAAAGGTATTGATCTTTTTTTGACCAGCTGAACTCACTGATGGATTTTGAATCGAAACAGGGCAATGTTGGGATAGACCCATCTCCTAGGAGTAAGTCTTCTGTCAGCCATTTTACACTTTCAGTAATGAGGAGGTTGCGCAGTGGGAGAAAGAGTCACAGACTGGACAACTTGCATGTGTAATGTATCTTAGTCCACAGAAGGAGGGAGGGCACCGGAAGCTTTTTAGAAGGGACTCTCTCTATTTTTCCAGAGAGAGTAAAAGGAAAGGATGAGAGAAATGTGTTCAGTCTCTTGTTGCAACTCTGCAATAAAGATAGGGCTAGGGATCTTTGTGGTGCTTCTTGTCCGGACTGCCTCAAAGGGCCAACAGGTCGACAGCCAGGCCTTTAAAAAGTTCTCATGAGGATAATGTGGGGGACAAAAAACCTTTTGTTTGAATTATTCTCTTATGATCATAAGAAACATTCTGAACATTCTATAACAATATTTGCCACTGGTTTGTTAATACGGGACAGTCCAGTTCTTTGTTCCAGAATTCTTGCAAATAATCTCTTAGTAATATTTTTTATATATATTAAAGTATACTGCCGATTGAAGAAACTATCTACCATCTATCTATCTCTCCCACAGATCTATCTATCTATCTATCTATCTATCTATCTATCTATCTATCTATCTATCTATCTATCTATCTATCTATCTATCTATCCATCCATCCATCATCCATCTTCTATCTATCTATCTATCTATCTATCATCCATCCATCATCCATCTTTTATTTATCTGTCTGTCTGTCTGTCCGTCCATCCATCCATCCATCCATCCATCCAACCATTATCCATCATCTATCTATCTATCTATCTATCTGTCTGTCTGTCTGTCTGTCTGTCTGTCTGTCTGTCTGTCTGTCTGTCTGTCTGTCTGACCGTCTGTCCATCCATCCATCCATCCATCATCCATCATCGTCTGTCTATCTATCTATCTATCTATCTATCTATCTATCTATCTATCTATCTATCTATCTATCTATCTATCTATCTATCTATCTATCTATCTACATGCTGTTCCTGCTGCACAGTTCTTGTTCTAAAGTCCTTCAAGTAAATTGGGGTTTTTGTGACCACTCTTTCTGCTCGCCCTCCGTGCATAAAACCTCATGTTGGATTTTTCTGCCCTTCTTTTCTCCTTGTAGGAATTTGTCATGATTGTTGTTTTTGGAGTGGAATACATTGTCCGTATCTGGTCGGCAGGCTGCTGCTGTCGTTATCGAGGATGGCAAGGTCGCTTCCGGTTTGCCCGCAAACCTTTTTGTGTCATCGGTAAGCACCTGATGGGGATGGGGAGGCGTGTCAGAAGGATTCTTGTTGTGCCCCATCATTATTGGGGGGAAGAGGAGGAACAAGAATGGGAAAAGTTCCATTATCCTGTACTCCAGACAGCTGTGACATCTATCATTTGTAGTTGTAGATTTATATTGGTTACATTCACACAACACATGGAGTTGTCCTATTTTCTGGATACGTTCAATGCATTGAACCATATATTGATAAACACAACCCCTAAACAGAGACTACAGCTTGGTGTTTAGATAATTAGCATGATGACTTCCAGGTACATGAGATGACCTCTAGACTGATGACTTCAAAGTTTGTAAGATTTCAATTCCAGTCATTTGAAAAAGTTGCTTGTGTTTAAATTCAGCAACACCAAGAAAGCCCATCTGCAGACTTTCTTGTCTGCTCACCAGATATATAAGCTATATCACTTAATTCTCCCTCACTCAAAGTCATCTGAACTATGTAGTTCATGGAATTTATATAACCTCAAGCAGGCATCTGACAAGGGTTCCCTTTTTCCATCTGAGTAACAGATGAAAGCACTTGGGCAAATTGGTCTGCATAGGAACTAAATGGGGTTGGATCTATTTAGGACTTGGCTAGGACAGGACCAGGGAATATTAGGGCTGAAGGCTAGGCAAAGATGTTGAGGAAAACTTGCTGGAAGACAGCAATGGAAAACCACTTCTGAACTGTCACCAAAACACTGACATAGCTTATCCATGAATCTTCCAGGAAGATGTGCTTGAAGGAGAATTGACTAGGTTACCAGGATGAAATACCACGTTCTCTTTAAATCAGAGAAAGTAGGTGGGACAGGACTGGTAGTGGGATATTCTTGGGGCCAAGTTGGGAAGACACCTTCGGCCCATTGTTGTGGTCATCAGAAAAGTCTGGATGCCAGAAACACACCTGGTCCCCTAAGATCAAGTGAATGATCTTCTTCTCAAGCCTGGGACAAACCTGGGCTTGTCCTTCTGATAGTTAGGTGCATAATCGTTAAGAAAAGGCTTAATTATTTCTACCCAGCCATTGACGAGATTTTAAAAGACTGGATGTTTTTGTTGTGCAAAAAACCTTGATGTAATCTCAGATAGCTCTACTCTGTGATATGGTTATAGAGATGGTGCCTTTCATCTCCTAGCTGCCATTTTTTCCTCTCCTGATTAGCCATGGTTCTCTGGATACCCAGAGGCTATTTCAGACCACAGTTGTTTTTGACTGTTGACTTTGAACCCTTGACTGACACTTTAAGTCTACCCAGCTAATATATGTTTTAAGGTTCCCTAGGGATTTGAGAAATAGCCAAATGGCACAGAAGAGCAACCTCGTATTGTGGAGAACATCATATATTTCATCTGATTCTGTAATTCAAAGGCACGTTTTTCTCCACTTCCATAGGGGACAACAAGTCTAAAGGGGTGCTTGATCCAAGGGTGACTTTTAGTTCTTCTTTGAAGTTGGTTTCGTTGCTTTGCACCCGAGGAACTGATGTCTGTGCAATGCAGCCATCAAGCTACTGCTTAGACCACAGGTTGTAAGTTGCCTTCTCTTTCCTTTCTCCTCCTGTGCTTCAGATTTCATCGTCTTTATTGCTTCTCTGGCCGTCATTGCAGCTGGCACCCAGGGGAACATCTTTGCTACCTCGGCCCTACGCAGCATGCGCTTCCTGCAGATCTTACGCATGGTGCGCATGGACCGCCGTGGCGGTACTTGGAAGCTTCTTGGCTCAGTGGTCTATGCCCATAGCAAGGTGAGTCCTGGAGGCAGGTCAGCCCAAGCAAGGCACAGGAATCTGCTCTCAGAGATGGGAATAAAGACACCTGCTTTTTTCTTCTGTTTCTATTTTGGGAGAGGGAATTGCAGGGAATTGAAGTAACCGAATACACATTATGAAAGAGCAGGAGAAAAAAAGATTTCAACCTCTGCATGCATATGGACCAGATTCTTCTTGGCTGTAGAAGCTGACCTTTGTAGAATAAGGATAGGATAGGATAGGATAGGATAGGATAGGATAGGATAGGATAGGATAGGATAGGATAGGATAGGATAGGATAGGATAGAAATAAGAATAGAATAGAATAGAATAGAATGGAATGGAATGGAATGGAAGAATGGAATGGAATGGAACAGAATAGAATAAGAATAGAATAGAATTAGAACAGCATTAGAATAGAATAGAATTAGAACAGAACAGAATAAGAATAGAATAGAATAGAATAGAATAGAATAGAATAGAATAGAATAGAATAGAATGGAATAGAATAAAATAGAACAGAATAGAATAAGAATAGAATAGAATTAGAATAGAATAGAAATAAGAATAGAATAGAATAGAATAGAATGGAATGGAATAGAATAGAATAGAACAGAATAAGAATAGGATAGAATTAGAATAGAACAGAATTAGAACAGAATTAGAACAGAACAGAACAGAATAGAATAGAATAGAATAGAATTAGAATAGAATAGAATAGAATAGAATAGAAAGTTTTTTGTCCCTTTGAATGTTCACTAATCGGCATACATTAAAATGAAATTTTGTTGCCTACAGCTCTCAAAGAGTCACCACCTCTGATGTACCCTACGTAAATATGACAAAAATAAATAAATAAATACATAATTATACATATACCCATATATAATATATGACATAGAGAAACAACACGGCCCAGTTCAGGTTATGTATCCACGTGCATGGCGAGAAAAACGAATCTTGCAAGTTTACCAGACGGATGGCAGACGGAGCAAAGCTATTACTGTGTAGTCCTTCTCAGAACCAGATTGCTTTTTCTGTGCAGTGATGTGACTTAATTTGCTCCATCCGGGTCCTGATTTTGCAAGACAGCACCAAGTTCCTGAGAGGAAATTGTTGAAATTTCCTGGAGGTACCTCTAACAAGGTCCTGCCTTCTTCTAAGAAAGCAGCTTTCAATTTAACTCTCTTCCCCAACTATCCCCCTCCCCAACCCAATGCTGTGTGGTGGAAAATATTGAGGGGTGCCCTGGGACCAAGAAAAGATGGGCAGGCAGTTATTGCGGCACCTTGAGAAAGCGCAACTGGAAAACCTGGAGCGAACAGGGATTGTGCAAGTGTTGTGCAGCTCTGAAAGGCTTTCTCCGTAAGTGTGGCATTCTCTACAAAGTGGAAGCAATTAGAAAGGGACAGATGAAAGTATAGTGAGTAACATTACATCACGCCAGGGAAACCTTGCAATTCTCAAATGCCCCAGGGAATCAGCAGATGTGTGTTCGTGTGTTGGTGTTGGTGTGTGTCTCTGTGGTAATACGAGAAGGTTCCATGATTCAGGCAGATGGTGCTTTTTTTTTTTCCTGATAAAGTGACCTTTCTTGGCATTTTATTTAGCCCCGTGTCATCAATCCCATATTAGCATGAGGGATGAAAGGGGTCCATTAATTGGCATTCATGTCCGATTCTCAACTTTGCCTAGCTGTCTAATCACCCTGTCACTTCTACTTGCATCCTATCTACCTGCAAATGCATGCACAAGCCAGGTGCTTTCCCACAGTGTAGGAAAATAGAGACTAAATGGGGTTTATTAGCTCCCTTGTCCCCTCAGCTTTCAGGTATGCAGACCGAACCTAAATGAAGCTTTTGCCTTCTCCTTAGCTATTCCAGTAGGCCAGGCTGGTGGAGAGTTGAAACTGGTCAACAGGACCAGAAACATTCAAATCCATCCACAGCTTGGAAGAGCAACTTGCCTTACCGGGGTGATGCTACTGGATAACATTGGAAGAAGGAGAACTATATATTCTGTTTTGGTGCGATGGTAGTCGTTAGTTAGGTTTCTGTCTTCTCTCTTTGATTTTGTTTGCTGAAAACTATTTTTCTCTGGTGGATTCCGGCAGGAGCTGATCACAGCATGGTACATTGGGTTCCTTGTCCTTATCTTTTCCTCTTTCCTGGTTTACCTGGTGGAAAAAGATGCCAATGATGATTTTCTCACCTATGCAGACTCCCTGTGGTGGGGTACGGTAAGTGTGCCTCCCCCTTTTTTAAAAAAAAACTCCCCCCCCCCCGTTTTGTTTTGTTTTTGCTAAGCAAGAGGAAGAACTGAAAGCCTAAGAACAAACTGACATGGGAATGAATAATAGAAAGCCACCAAAACATCAGGATTGGCATAGGATTGATTCAGGGCTATCCAGAGACCCTGTATGAACTGGATATCTGTGTCCCTATTTGGGACCTCCAGCTGTGTTGGAACGGAACTCCTGGAGATGCCTCCAATGCTAAGTTGGTATCCCAACTCGTCAGTAGAACATCAAGTTGGGAATGGCTGATCTTCAAGATATGGACACATGATAGGTAGCTACACTGGGAAACAAACTGTGTAAACTGAAAGGTTGTAACCCAACCAGAAACTAGTACTGTCGTTACCTAATAGGAAGAGAAACAGTGTATCTCCTTTGTAAAATAGTTTTCTTTTTTCTGTCAAGAACCCTGTGCCATGGAGGCAGTGGTGGGATTCAGCCAGTCCACACTGGTTTGGTAGAACCAGTAGCTAAATTTTGTTGAGTTCAGAGAACCGGCTGAACCCATGCTGCTTCTGGAAGTCTGTTCTAGGCCTCAGAGACCTGGAGGAGGTCTCTCAGGCCTAGAATGGTCCATTGGAAATGCATGGATGTCACTTCTGGAAGTCTGTTTTAGGCCTGATGGAGGCCTCCGAGGCCTAGAACAGCCCAGTGGAAGTGCGTGGCTGTCACTTCCGGAAGTCCATTCTAGACCTGGTGGAGGCCTCTGAGGTCTAGAACAGCCCATCGGAAGTGCGTTGATGTCACTTCTGGAAGTCTGTTCTAGACCTCGGAGGCCTGGAGGAGGCCTCCCAGGCCTAGAACGGCCTGACGGAAGTGCGTGGATGTCACTTCCAGAAGACCGTTCTAGGCCTCAGAGGCCCAGGCCTGCATTCACGCAGAGAACCGGATGTTAAGGTATTTGAATCCCACCATTGCATGCAGGTATATTTTTTATACAGATAAATAAATTGGGACAAGAATCAGGAGCAGTGGATTTTGCTGTTGGCCTAGAGGGATGGAAGATGCCAGGAAAGAAATGGTCACGGTATCAACCAATCAATAATATTGATTTGGACACTGACCAGCAAAAGTTAAAAGGAACAAAAACATACAATAGTTTACTAAGTAGCAGAATGAATCACAAAATATAGCATTTACTCACTCCTCTATTACTGTGTTAATACAGTTGTTACCTTCAGTGATAAATCGAAAACATAAGTATAAAATAAAAATAAAATTGCTCCTAGAAGCACGAAGCCGAAAACACCAGCCTGAAGATGACGAATGAGACTTCGTCGAAACGTCGCCAAGACACTTCCAATTTTACGTGGGAGAAAACCCGAATAACCAAAGACCTACATACAAACACCCGTGTAAACCTCAGAAAATAAAAATAAAAACTATATATCCCCTATAATTTATTAGTTAAGATGTCCTGAACCCAAGGTAATATTTAAAACAAAGATGAATATGTCTTTGACCAGTTATATCTTGCTTTCATTGCAGCAACACCAAATTTAGCTACTGCACCTGTAATGAAGGCTGAAGGAGACGGTTCCTATAAAATTTATCTGGCATCTCCTTCTGTGATTTCAGATCACACTCACCACTATCGGCTATGGGGACAAGGTTCCAAAAACATGGCTGGGCCGGGTGCTGACAGCCTGCTTCGCCTTGCTGGGAATCTCCTTCTTTGCCCTTCCTGCGGTGAGTCCCCCAGGAAAAACAAGAACCCCAAACTCCTTAGGGAACTAGTATTCTCCTAGGCCAGATTCAGGGCAGTAGATTGGCTGTGAATTGTGACAGAGAACATGGGCATCTAGATCCAAGTTCTCATTCAACCACGAAATCTCACTAGGTAATTTCTGGCCCATCTGTCAGGTGCAAGAAACTGGAATAATTTCCTGAATTAAGCCAAAGCAATTTCTTTATTGTTGATCACCCATATTACAAGAATCTGGTCAGACTGGCTACATTCCCTTGGGAACCAGTAGATAAGGCTTCATTATTAGACCGATCTAGGATGTTTCCTCCAAGGGAGCAAATCTATGTGACGTGCTTCTTTATGTCCGGCTCTCCTTTAGTTAGTAATTCCACCACCCCATCAGTCTCAGTTATAATCAACTCACAAAGGTGGTTTGGGGATAAAAATGAGCTGTGATCTGACTCACACAATCCTGAGCTGGTCAGAGAAAAGTAGAAAGACTCTCTTAGAATGCATGACTACATGAACGCATGTGTGTAATGGTCTGTCTCCTTAATCTCTTTCTGGGATATTTTAAAAACTTTTTAATATCCTTGGGGTTTTCAAGAATTCTGCCACTCAAGTAGTAACCAAGTTAGACCCAACTTAGTTTTTTTTTTTTGAGATCAGCCTAAGATAGTTTTCTCAATAATGTCCAGTTCTTGGAGATTGCCAGGACACGTCCCTGCAATTTTCTTGGCAAGGTTTTTTTTTTTAAATGGTTTGCCCTTGTCTCCTTCCAAGGGTTGAGAGAAAGTGACTTGCCCAAGGTCACCCAACTGGTTTTGTGTATAAGGCAGGTCTAAAACTCACAGTCTCCCAGTTTCTAGCCTGGTGCCTTCATTATGGTACCAAAGTGGCTCTCTCCAAGCTAGCTAGCTGCTGATAATTATCTGTAGTTTCTGTCTTTTTTCACAAAAAGGAGGAGAAAAAGAATTGCACAGTTGTGGGCTTGTTGTCCCTTTGAACTGGCTATCTGGAAGGTCTTTAAGCCACTGAGAAGATGCTGAAATATTGGGACTTTCTTTGGTTTAGACCAGTGGTTCTCAGCCTGTGGGTTGGGACCCCATTTGGGGTCAAATGACCATTTCACGGGGGTCGGCAAACAACGCAGTCTGCCATTTTATTTTCCCCTTTTCCTTAGCTGTGCTACTCCCTTTTATTCTATTGGCTTTTGAAAGCCAGTAGAATAGACTCTCTTGAATAGAGTCTAATTCTATTGGCTTTCAAAACCCAATAGGAATTGTCCAGGCTGTCTCTGCCCTGCTAAGCCTGCCAAAAGTCCCATTCTGCAAACGATGCTGCACCAGTTGAATAGTCCTCGACTTATGACCGGTTGAGTAGTCCTCGACTTATGACCGGTTGGGGGTTGCGGCATTAAAAAGGCATTTTGGTCTCTCCCCATCCTAGATAGTTGGCTTTTTCCTCAACAAATAGTACAACTTCTCCAATTTCTTAGACCTTCCTTTTAGTTGGAACTTAAGTGCTGTTCTGGAAGGGTCCTGATGCTGTTTGTCTTTTCACACAGGGAATTCTAGGCTCAGGGTTTGCTCTCAAAGTCCAAGAGCAACATCGACAAAAGCATTTTGAGAAGAGAAGGACACCTGCAGCAAATTTGATCCAGGTGAGTAAAAAAGAAATATCCTGGATTTTTTTCTTTTTCTTTTCCTCCCGCCTTCCTGCTTAAAGAATGTGACCAATGCTAGAAGCCAAGGAATGTTTGAATACGTTTCTGCACACGGCGGCGGAGGCCTAAAGCGAAAAGGTTTTATAAAACCCAGCTGAAGGCCTAGGACTAGTGCAAAGGTGTGCGTGCCCACAGAGAGGGCTCTGAGTGCCGCCTCTGGCACCCGTGCCATAGGTTCGCCATCACGGAAGAAAGAAAGCAGTGCAAGAAGGAAAGAGGAAAAAAAAGTGATGGCTTCGGACTTTTCTTCAGGGCAGTAGAATAAAAAGATCTATTACAATGAGAATAAAAGGACAGGTACTATACATATAAAAATGTGCCATAAATAAAAAAATACACTAAAACATAATCTATTGCTGTTAAGGTAAATCATAAAATCCAATAAAATTGAATAAAACTGTGGGGTTTTATTTATTATTTCTTTCTTTCTACCCAACTTTATTATTTTTATAAATAACTCAAGGCGTATCCAACGGACCTTCCTCCTCCTAATTTTTCGTTCCCGAAATCTCATTACTTTATCTGAGATTTTTTTTTTCTAATGTGGCAATTGAAGAGGCATTGCTAATCCACAACTCAATCATTATCTGGAGTTTTCCAATGTTGCATAATTATTGTTTTGGCTGCTGCGAAAAATTCAAGAGATAATAAGGTCTTTATTTTTAAGTGTATAGTTTGGTCCTGTAACAAAGTTTAATAAACTTAACTCCGGAGAGCGTTCAATTCTTTGCTTAGTGAAGAAATTTATCTTTGCAAAAAAAATCATCAAGGAGATATCACACGACCATCACAAATTAAAAAAAAAAACTGGGTTGTTTTTTTTTTTGACAACCTTTCCAAGCATTTGCAAGAATAATTGCAAAGCGTACTGTTCTACTGCTGAGCAAGTAAATTTCTAAAAAATCCTTGGAAGTCTTCCTGACCCCCTGCCTTCCTCCAAACGTAGCTGAGATTCTGAGTTAGCAGTTTGCTTCTTCTTCTTCTTTTTTCTTAAAAAAAAAAAATATTAAGAGAACATTTTACGTAAGATTTAGAAAGCTATGGAAACATAAAAAAGAAAGTAGAAAAAAAGAAAGATATAAAAGAACAAAAGAACAAGGGGCAATAACCAAAGAAAAAGAAAGATAACTAAAGAAGTGACTTCCAATCTTCTTTACAACTGTTACAAAATTGTGCATCATGGTTCTTTCCCCCCCCCATAAACAAACGTTTTCATCAATAAATCCCAAAGTCGCCAATTCTTTTTTGTCCAGTTTCAGCAGAAAAAGTCCATAAAGGGTTTCCAGTTGTCTCTAAAAGTAACTGTTGTTCACTCCTTAGTCAAACAAGCAAACATTTTGCTTTTTCTGTTCGCTCTGCCACAATCCATTGTTCCATTATGAGCACTTCTGTATTCTTCTATCTTTGAATTGTGCTTTGTGCAGTTCAGGGTAGATATAACACACACACACATACCCCAGCCCCATCCTAAGCCATGACCTCCTTTCCAGTCCAACTTCCTTTTCCAGCCACAAGCACGAGTCCAAATCTTCTTTTCTGGCATCGTTGGCCGTGCACTTTATGTTGCAGAATCACGTCTGATCCAGCAACATTCTGCCCTGCTGTCTGGATTGGTTCCTTTGCTATTGTGGTCAGAAAGATGAAGCTTCTGACACCACGTTATCTCTGTGGTCCAGAGGATCCGTGCAACAAAAGGTCTCTTTCTCGCAGCCTTGCCCTGCCATTCAACTCCTGGGCTGAGAGGCCTCCAACAACAGCTGGAAATGGATGGTGGGCAAGACAAAAAGGATGCACGCAGTTGTTTTGGCACACAAAACTATCTTGGAGACACAGCTCTGGCCTCCTCTTTCCTGAATGAGGATGCTGTCCTCTTCCCATCTGATACCCCTGGTCAATTCACACAGCCTTCTTTTCCAGAGCAAATGAAAGGTCAGGATACGTCTGCCTGCGCTTTCTCCTTGATAATTAATCTCTAATGGAGTTTCTCCCCACCTTCTCTTAGTCACCCAGAAAAAGCTTAGCAGGAACATCTCCACGTTTAGAGCTGCTGTGATTTGAGCGTTCTTGAGAGAGAGGGAGAGAGAGAAGATCTCCAGACATTCCTAGTACTAATCCTATAGGTGGAGCACCCCAAGCCCGATCCTCTCCACGGCTCTTGTTTTGGTGAGTGCGGAGATGTTCAAAGAAATGAAGCAGGCATGGCCGCTCTTGGCGGTTGGGGAAGATGCGGGTTGTAGGGCAAACCTTCAGGAGATGCACCAACTTTACCCATCTCGCTGATGAAACCTACTTAAAAAGGGGCGTTGTATTCGAGTCCAACTCAGAAAACACAGGAATTGACAAGGTCAGGCGGGTGTTGTCAAACTCAAGGGAAAAAGCTTGCCTCCTCTTTTAACCAATGTGGACCCTGCATCACATTTTGTGGATTTCTGACTTGGAAATATGCAACCTGGTGAATATTTCTCCCTTCATTACAGGACTTCTCCGAGCAATTTCCTTTCCCTTCCTGGTATTTAACTTGGTTTCACATATATACTGACACCCAATCTAGCCAATGGATGCCAAGTTCTCTCTTACTATGTTTTGGTGTGGCAGTTCCTACCGTAGCCATAGCCCCAGATTTACAGTGACAACATTAGGATGAAGATCAGCCTGGTTAATTCACCAAAAGTGGGATACTGATTAGAAGAACGGGGTAGGGGGCAGGGGGGGGACACAACCAGAGCACCAGAACCCTGGTTCATGAAGATGGTCATGTGTTCACTAGGTCTATATGATGAGCGGCAACACTACACCATTTCTGTTTGATTTTTTAAGTGCCAGTTCACAATTTCCTACAGCTCTCTTCTCAGCCCCAGCTTCTCTGTACTGACAGGAAAACCAGCAAAGGGAACTATAGCAATATTTAATTCTGATGTTCTTAAAGTATATATTCAGGGCCATGAAACTGGATTCTGCCATTGCTTTAAGCTATCGTACCTTTTTGAAATTTGTCATGGTTATGGGTTGTATTTTTGTCATCTTTACTTATGTGATTTCTTCGTAAAATTCCCTTTGTGATTTGTTTAAGGATGATGGTGGCTGATGATGACAAAAAGCAGCTCATTGGGAAAAATACTGCTTATATTTTATAGATGGGGTTAGAGTTTGGCAAGCGAAAGCAATTATGCTTGCATTTGAAGCTTTCATCTTTTAATTAAATTCTTTTTAATCTCTTCCTTCAAGTTCTGACTTTCCAGTTGTCTTTGGCTGTGCTGTGCATAGGACCTTGTTCCTTGGATTGTCTGAGCCTCTTTCAGCAGGGAGATGCATCAAACCAGGAATGCAAGGGGTGGGATTGGGGGTCCACCATCCAAGGCACTCTACTTATTGGTTTCATTAAGGCTGGGTGGAGACAGTAGGGGAAGCCTTCTTAAGCTGGTCCAGCTCTGACCTCTCTCTCTCTCTCTTCTCCTGTCCTTCCTCCTTGACATAGGCTGCTTGGCGCCTCTACTCCACAGACGTCAACCGATCCTACCTGACTGCTACCTGGTGTTACTATGACAGCATGCTTCCCTCTTTTAGGTATGTGTGAAGTTACATTGGGGGCTTGGAGGGATGGCAATTGGAGCGGGGGGGAGGGAGGTGTTCCTTGGGAGCCCTGACCAAGGAAACGGAAAGAGGAAGTTGATGGAAATTGCAACGAGATGGACCAAAGTAGGGAAAACATATCAGAGAGAACCCAACGTGTGTGAGTAATGGGTAGGGCTAAATATGCCTCTTCTGCCTACTCTGACTGCTGCCACATTTCCAGGGAAATGCGTGAGTCACTTTATGGGAGAACAGGGCGAAGAAATCAATGGGGATTATATGGTGGCCTGGCATCTATTCCGTGGCAGTTTGTGGATATTTAGTGCCTAATATTCTCGTGTTGGCTCAAGGTGAGTGTCAGGCAGCTTTAGCAGTTGCCCACAATGAAGAATGCTAGATTCTCTCAGAGTCTCATTAATTTTCGGAAAGGAAAGCTGGATTAGATTACAGAATCGTGGAAAATGGATGCATGTGTCCTTTAGCTTCTTTGATCGGCTTTCTGACTACCTTTTGATGCAGGGGACATGTTGTTTCCTGCTTGCCAGATAGAGAAGTACCTTCCATCTGGCCTACTTTGATAAATCAGTCTTATCCAATCCAGTGTTTTAATCCCATCCATCAGGAGAAGGTGGTAGAACAATTATGCATCATTGCAGGACAGTACTTGGCCATGGTGAAAGGACTAACCAGTGAGGCTGATGCTTAGTAGACCACTTCCTCTGAACATGTTTGCTGGGTTTTGAATGTTCAGTTTCCATGCCCTCTTCATAAGGCATCATAATTCCATCCACATCTTTCATAACGTGTGATGTTTCCTCCACTCAAATTGGGCTCCAGGATCTTCTAGGTGGTGGAAGCTGCAATGGAGACTAATGGAGAGGTATGAGGATAGAAGCTGGGCTATTAATGGGGGCATGATTCTAGACCTTTGCGTACATGTAGACACGCATGGGGTCACATGCATATATACATGCAGGGTAGAAATGTTATTGTTAAGCATAAATTGTTCGGTCAAAAAGCTGCCCTTTTGCAAGACTTACTTTGACCAGTTTTTCATTGTCTCAAGGAAAGGCCTATGGCAGCCCCCGGGGGTCTCTGCGTCTTATTTTTCTAAATGCATAACCCACTTTTCTAATGTTTAGTACACAAGAGGGTTTTCAGTTGTCTTCATCCGAGAACAAGATGAAAATACAAAGGAGACAACTTCTGTGGAATCAAGCGATCATCTTCAAAAAACCAAAGCAAAATTAAAGACCAAACGGGCAGAAGCAGCACAAAACAACTATTAAAAATGATGATTTGAGGGGGGGGGGAATTGAGGCTTGTACATGCAAAAGCAACTAGCACTGAGTGGGCACACTTGGGGATTTCAATGAGACCTTGAGGAGCACCGAAAGGCATCTGTGGGGAGTCTAACAACTGCAAAATGGCTGATGCAGCATCACGATGGAATAGAATGTGTGCATACCACCCCTACTATCTTGCAGGTGGTGATGCTCCTCCCACGGTCATCCTTGCCTTAACATTTATATTTAATTGGGGGGTTGGTTTAGCACCTCCCAGACAGAGAGTACTAATTGACTTTGAGAACATTATATGCAGGAGGCTGATCTCACCAAAAGGACACCAAATCATGTCCTCCCCCAAAGGTGGGACTTCAACCCCACTTGACCAGTTCATTCCTACTAGAATTGGAACCCACAATTACTTAAACTCATGGCTGTGTCCTTTATATAATAAGGGGAAACCTGTATTTGGAGGGTATGAGTGTCCACCCAGGGAGAAATAAAAATGTCAAGATGGCCTCTGCCTGTAAAAAGGGGTGGGTGCCCGAATCATCGCAGGCATGACAGACATCTTGACGTTAGATCCTCCTCCGAAACCAGGAGAAGGAGATAGAAAGGAAGACGGAAGGGGGAAAGTAAGTGAGAAAAAAAATGTGGTAACAAGGACCAAAAAATGACAAGTTTTTATAGCTCATGATTGGACGCTTTTGGCACATGGCCCTTCCCATGGCCCTTTTTAATAAACAAGGAGACCAGGACGATGACACCCTTGATTAACTTCCATACACTTCCATGCCACCACAACTACACTGTGAGGCTAGACCAGGGGTAGGCAACCTTGGCTCTTTTATGACCCGTGGACTTCAACTCCCAGAATTCCTGAGCCAGCATGGCTCAGCTTGGAAACCTCTTCCTTTCCCCTCAGCATGGCTGGCTCAGGAATTCTGGGAGTTGAAGTCCACGAGTCATAAAAGAGCCAAGGTTGCCTACCCCTGGGCTAGGTGAATCACAAATTGTATTAGGCAGTGTAATAAGGGAAGAGAAGATTTACAGGGGATTTATTATCCCTGGCTACACCTTTCCCTGGTGTGGAAAGATGGTTTAAAAGAAGAATCGGCATTCAGAAGGCTTGTGCTGTCATTTCGGTTTTCTTCCAGTTTCAAAATATTTGACTTTTTTTAGGGGAGAGACATTTAAAAAACAAATACGGCGCGAAACATCTTTGCCTCAAGAGCTTCTGTCTGAATGTGACATAAGATAGGCTTGGAAGCTGGATTGTGAAGCTTTTTGAATTGCAATGCTGAATGCAGTGCAAATTCTGGTGGATTTGGTCAAATTTGTTGGAAAACTTAATATATTTTTATTTCTGGAAAACTATAGTTTCTGCACTAAGGAGAAAGAATAAATTATGCAAAACCTGCCTCCTTTATGATGGTTAATATGGCATAAGTGGAAGCTTCCAAAAATTAACCTTTGCCAAACTTCAGAGAGAAGAAATTCCATCTTTCCCTGTTCAAGGATTTGGGTCATTGCTTTGCAAGCCATCTTTCTTTCTCTCTACCCCCCCCCCCCGCCCAATATAAAGGATAGTCCAGAGCATCTGGCCATGGTTTGGAGACCTATTTTTTATTTTCTTCCTTCATGGACAAACCACTGATCTGGAGTAGTGATGTGTTAGTGATGAACTATGGTCTCCACCCCAGTTTCACTGATCCAAATAGGAAGTCTTATGAGTTGGAGGTTCTATTGTGTCCTCAGTAGAGAAGCATTATTGTGAAAGAGGAAGACCCTCCTAGCTTTGCTTCAAATTACCTTCTACTTGGCCCATCAGTGCAGATAATTTTAGAGCTTAACGGTAACGCTCTGAAAGTCAATACTAGCAACTTTAGAACTGGGGTTTAGGCTTATAAGCAAAGACCACTATCCATCTGCCGTAATTCTTAGAAGATCACTTTTTGGCTGTACCCTTTATATTCAAGGCGTATTGGCTGTCCAGTGTTCTTTGATTCTGACTCCTAAATTCAGATTCAGCTTGGCCATAGAGTTAGATTTGGAGGAGATCTTATTAGCCCTCTTGTTGCTGTTGAGTATAGTGAATCTAAAGAGTTGTATCAATAGAAAATAATATTTGTAGCTCAGGGTTGAACTGTAGGGTCCTTGGTGCTCTCTGACATGTAGGACAAATAGGCAGAAGATTAACCGAGTGCATCCATAAACACCAACTAGCAGTCAGAAGACATGATGAATACTCCTTAATTGCACAACATATGAACAGACTTCACCATAATTTCAACTGTGAAACTGAGCATCCTAAACCAAACTAAGTCCAAAAATGCTGGAGAATTTCTGGAAACCTGGTACTTAGACAAAGCAGCCATTAACAGGCACATTGAGATAAACATCTACGTACCACTCAAAAAAAGACAAAAAACAATAAAAAAAACCTTACCAGCAATCAACACATAGATAAATAGATATTAACACCAAGATTAACAGTAGACCAACAATGGAGAAGTAAACAATATCCCAGTCAAGAAAATACCAACTCAAACAAATAGTCAAACAAGATACAACAGCCTAGTCAAGGAGCCACCAAGAATATTCCCACCAATTCTGAAAGGGCAAACCACTTGTATATAAAGAGAAGGCAAAACTCACTCCCTTCTAGCACTGATGATGTTACCTAGTTGAATAATGGAACATCTACAAGAAAGCAATCAAGTTTGGAGAGTACCAAGGAGCCCACAATCTAGAATTGGTAGAACAATTCAGCACTCCATCTTCTGCTTGAAGACCTCCAACGAGGAAGAAGTTCCATGTGATTAGTTCCATATCAAATTGCTATTATTTTCCAAACAAAAGTCCAATATGGAAGTCTGACCAGCACTAGCTTTTCATCCCTTTTGACTTGCTTCTTCTTTTTGCAAACCTTTTGGACTAATTTCAGTTGCTATGTATTCTTATTGTATGCTTACCTGCCCTTGGGAGACGTATAGGGAATAAGTTTCATAGCCATTCAATCATGTTTAATCACTGAACACTATCAAGGGTGAACAACCCATGGGGCATTGTTTAGCACTGAAGACTGAATATGTCAATTAATGGTAAGATTCAGTGATTGGTACTGTTGCTTTAAATGCAGTTTAAATGCAATGGAGATCCAGTCAGCAGGGCCTTAGCTGCTTTTCTGCTCCACCCTCCATAGACTTACAGATTGTAGCTGAATGAAATGTTCTACAGATCTGAAGAAGAACCCCTGGTTTGTGCACTCAAAATAAAATTACGATAATCCGTGATGACGTTTTCACCTGCCCTCCCAAAATTGGAACTCATGCTCATAAATTAGTGTTCCTACAACACACTTAACCGAATTACTTACACATTTGGTTTCATGTGCTAAGCTTAGACCCTTTGATCACTCATTTTTTGTGGCTTAATGTATTTTATGAATGTAAGCCATTTGGCTGATGTGTAGTTCCACATATTCCACAAACTAAGAAATGGACTGATTTCTTAGTTGGATTTGGAGTTAGATTAAACATGTGTGAACGAAGGCCAGTGTAACTCATCAGCCATGCGCCCCAATTCTATAAACAACACCAATCAATTTAGTCTATCCAGATAAGTCAATCAAGAAAACAAAACAATTAGGTGATCCATATTCTTTTCTCCTATGGAGAAAAACAAGGTGCTCCATAAAGAATTTATGGGCAGTGGTCCACAAATGTGTTTGTCTTAATTTTGTTAAATTTCTGCTAGGTTTTTCATTGCTTCTCCTTCCTGCTTTCTCTCTCTCTCTCTCTCTTTTTCTTTTAATCCCCTTCTATTTTCAAGACTTTCCTTGACATTCTTCTACTTTTTTGCTTGCTTGCTTGTTTTGCCCCCTCTCTCTGCCATTTGAAAGCTTTTAATTCCTTCATGTTTTTATTTGAACCCAACCCTAGAGAACTGGTCCTTATGTTTGACCACTTGCACCGAGCTCGCAACGGAGGGCTTAGGATCTCTGAGGTGAGGAAATTCCCTGATGGAGCTCCACCGTCGTATCACTCCTTCACCTCTGGCCTGAAAGCCTCCACTCCTCCTTTTTACACAGGAGAAAGGTAGGGTTGATGCCACCTCCTTGCACGTTTTCGTGCCCCTGGTGTGTCTCATGCCCTTCTCTCTCTCTCTTTCTCTCTGGTGTGTGGACTCTGTCTTGTGCTGCTGCTCCCTCTGGTTTTACTCCTTTGTTTGTTTCTACATGTGGTACAAGTTGAGTTGGTTTCATCTGGGTTCCTCTTTAGCCCTTGAAAGAAAGGCACAACCGTGCACGGTTCTTTATCTCCCTCTTCAGACTGGAGGCCATCATTACACCCCTCCACCTGTGGACCATGTTCATAGTTGCATTTTCAAGGGAGGAATTTAGGTGGTGCCGCCAAAAGCATTAACCCAACACACCCAATGTCGTGGCTAACCCAGGATCTCATTTTCTAGCAGGACTTGTGGCAAAACATTTTCAGCACCAGTTTCTTTCCAGAAAGAGGGTCAGTATGGCTGGGTCTGGACGGTTTCCACCTTCCAAGTCTCCTTTGCAGTCCACCTCATTTCATCATCTTTTCTCTCTCTCCTCCTCTCTGCCTCCCTTGATTCCTATTTCTCTGTCCATCTTCTCATCACTTCTCCATTTCCTATTCATTTCCGGAAGCTGGATAGAAGAAGAAGCTCCGTCACCCAAGTGTTTGCGTCTAAGGTAACCCTTCCCTTTAAAATGGTGGTGTCTGCTTTTATTCCCTCGTCAAAGAGAGGGAGGCAGCGGGACGGTAGGTTTTCCTACAAGAGGTGCTGGTAGGGGGAATATCCTGGCATTCTGGGAAGGAAAAAGGAGAAACAGCACTGAAAGTGGAACTATCACAGATTGACCAAGGGAATTGTTTGCTACATCAATGCTTAGAGACAAGAGAGGTAGATTTCCCAGGAAACCAGGGGCCACTTTTTGCAGTGATTCCTTAGTTCCTCAAGCGGTACGTGTTCTGGCGTCACCAGAAGTGGAAAGTGGAAATGGAAAGACCAGACATCTCAGTCAGGGATGTGGGGAAGGGTATGCTTTCTCTCTTCACTTCTCCAAGTAGGGGAAAAAAAGTCTCCACCAAGTTGCTTTTTCTTGAAGGACTAGGGTTTTTAAGGGCGAAAGCTTGTCTTAAGCCTCCATAAGGTTTAAACATTATTTATTTTATTTTGATGTATAGGTCTGCCCAATTTGCAAGAAACAATATAATTAATATAATACAAGGATTTTGGAATGTGAAAACAGCAGGGCAACAATAATAACAAAAGCAACGGTAACAACCGAAGTAACAATCATGGGCAACCAAACTCAACCTACATATCTCATTCAAGGTCTTACACTCTCTAACAGTACAACCCGCAGGTTGGCCCAATGTTAGGCTGTTAGACCTTGGAAGAACGACAGAGGGTCAGGTTTTGTCCCCTAAATTTCTCCCAAATTCCTCTCCTCAAACTAAGTTTAAAAGTCACTTTGGGCATTCCAGAGGTATTCTAGGACCTATAAAAAAGAATATTGTTTGCTTGCAGACTATGGAAATGGTGATTCGGGCTCAAAGTGTCACTCAGTAGCCTGGAAGGTACTGCTTTGTAGACCAAGACAACAAGTTCTATTTTCTCTCTGGAAAAACTTGCAATGACCACACCATAGCTTGTCCTCCTAGCATGGACCCAAGCTGATACATTTCACCAATCATCCTGTTGGTGCAGTCAGATGAACATCTTAGGTTGGTGAGGGTACCTCCTCTCCATGGGAATTGTCTTCCAGGACTATTTTGATTTGGGCAACAGGCTTTCAAAGTAGGGTGACCTCTTACACCTGACTCAGAAACTTAGATCAACCTGAATAGCAGCTCCCCATCAGTGGTGGTATGGAAGTCCCATAAGAAAGTGGAAATGAGAGGTGCTTCTCTGTTGCTCCCTAGCATTAGCTCTCCCAGCACCTATCATCTGTGGTCCTAAGGCTTCTGAGACTCTTCCAGAAGAGCAATGAACTTATGTTCAGAAAGAAGCCTGAAGAAAAGTTGACAGGTCTAGGGAATGGTTACCCACTGAAGCAACAGAGAGACATCTTGTTTGCCCACTCCCTGTGCAGAAGACCTGTTAAATTCATATTACAAAGCCGCCAAGTCTCCCAGCTGAAGACTAGTTGTAAGCTGTAATAAAAGCAATTGGGACCGACAGTGAGATCAGCAAATTTTATTCTATTTTGGTTTCCCTCGCAGTCAAGAGGAAGACCCTTTAATGGAGGTGTTGGGAAGAGCTATCAATAGATAAGAAGAACATGAGCAATCTGACCTTCTTAGCCATATGTCCATTTCCATATCTGAACTACACTGGTCATTGTTTAAACCAAGTGTCCCTCTAGCAAGCTCTGGTGATGGCAGCTTGTTTCATGGAGGTCAAGTGACTCGTCCATATCGGGGATGGGATTGGAAATCACAGTGAATTTTGGGGTGCCCTGAGTGAGGTGTTCTGTGGATGATGCTCTCACAACATTCATCAAGTCCTGTTGGCCTCAGCATGGCTTTCGCCTCTGTCCTTCCCCTTACTAACCTTTTCCCCTCTCTTCCTTCCTTTTTCCTTCTTGTCTTCTCTTCCCCTTCTTCTTTTTGTTCTTGTTTTTTTTGTGTGTGTTTTCCTTCTCCTCTCTCTAGCCAGCTCTTTAGTAGTAAAAGGAATTTCTTTCGGATTCCCACCGGCTGGAAACCGAGGTACCAAGGCTTTGGATCTGCTGTCCAGGAGATGTTTGGGGACTTGTCTTGATGTTCATATTCTATTTGCATTACGGTTGTCCCATTGATTCAAACCCTCCCCTTTTTAGTATCAGAGAGGGCATGCTGCAACAGTCATGTGCAATGGAGAAATGCATGGGGATGTCCTTCCTTCCCATTTGCTATGATGCCCTTCCAGGGTGGGAGATATGTTTGCTCTCCTGAAAAAAAAAAAAAAGGTATGTCTCCAGTGCAGCTTTCGAGCAAGAGTCAAAACAAATGCACAAATGGATTCAACATGGACCACACAGGAATGGGAGATAAAGAAACCAGGGACCCTTATTGCTACTTAATACTTCTTCAATTGTTCCTTTATTCTAAAACCTTCTGTTCTTTTCTCTTCTTCATCCTTGCCCCAACCACCCAAGCCACATTATGCTGACCTCTGATGACCCTAAGAGAATAGCTGGATTAATTAAAAGAAATCAAAACACTTCGACATGCGATAGATTTCTTAGGATGTTTAAAATATAGGACAAGAGAATTTATCCAGGTTTCCAAAGCAACCAACATTGAGATGATTTTAAAGGGTTCTATGTTCCTTGAGTCTTGGGGATTGAACCTAATGGAAAATGGTACCTGATGGTTGAAGGTTTAGTCTAATATGGAATGCAATTAATCATTTTGGGCCGAGAGAGTAATCTGGGGGCCACCATTATGACACATTATACCTTTGCAGTATTACTCCATTTCAACCTTGCTTCAGTTTATTTTGGGAGTTTTTGTGTTTCTCTCCGATTCTGATCTCAAATCAGAAAGATTGGTTTACTCAGGTTCTACTTTAAATAAAAGTGTAAAGCTGTGCTGGAGATTTACCTTCTTGTAGCTGCGTGATTATATTCTGGGTCTGGAATAACTCTTAGGGCCAGTGGTAGCCACTTGGAAACACGAATGCATGAAGATGTAGAGATTCTATTAGTAGAGTGATTCCACTTCATACAGATGGACAGATTTTGATTTGAGATTTGGATGCAATCCATGAAAACCTTGGTTGGATAACCTAGCAATTCTAGAAAGACTTAGATTTAGACCATTGGTTTGTCAGATTGAACTATAGAAGGTGTACAATTGATGGTGTACAATTTCATGCCCTTTTTCTTCTGTCCGTGACATTAAGACTTGGTGATTGTCATGGAAGTAATCTCACCCAAACAATGTCCAGCTGAAGAAGGAATCCGAATGTGTTGGGAATTTTACCCTAGGGCTGGCCCTGAAGTTATTCCAGTTTTCTTAATTGAGCTGCATGGGGGAAAGACTAAAGGAACAGGGGGAATTCTGGAGATTGAAACCTGGCCGTTGGAACAATCTCCAATCCAAGGTGGAAAAACCAGGGTCCTCCGCCCTTCCTGGAAAAAGGAAACTCACCTGAGAATGCAGAGTTGCTTTGAAGTTCCTCAAGAAAATCAACACCGATGACCATGTTGCCCAGTAAGAAAGCCCCAAAAGAGCTGTCAATTTTCCTGTGGATGATCTCAACGGTGCATTCTTGCAAGATGGTGAGAAATTATCAGGTCAATGATCAGTGCTCTGCTTTCACTGTTGGTGCCCCCCAGAGTGATCTTTCACAAGGCCTCCAGCCATTGTGCGAGGACATCCTTACAAGTTAGATAACCAACTATCAGCCTGTGGTTCTTTTTTAAAAAAAAGTCTTCACTCCTCTTTTGGGGAGTCTGTGCTGGGCCGTGTTTGTGGCCAGAGACCAGTGTTGTTGCTGCTGCCTTATTTTTCACAACTTGCTTCAGGTCTGCCCAGGTCTGCTCAGACCTTCACATGGCTAAAGTAGCAAAAGCAAGCCAGGCATGTGGGCAGCTTTAGGTAGCTTTAGAATGCAGGAATGCATCTTCTGGAATTATGAAAGCTGCTGCAGCATGACAAAAGTATTTTTGGGGAGTGAGGAAAATAATTCCCAAGAATCAATCCATCGGCTCCTGAACTGAAATAGAGTCACCTCTGTAAAGCAAGTGTAGCAGTTCAGTTCTTCTTGTTAATTTCTCTTTTTGAAGTGCTAATGCATTTTCCCCAAAGTTGCTATCCTCCAAATCTCTTCTACTACAGTCCTTCACCCCTAAACCATTGGTTGTGGGCCACTGTAGTCCAACGCAGCTGGATGAAGCCAAGTTGGGGGAACAACCCATGAAAGGTATCCAATAAAAGCCTGGTGCTTGTTGGAGGGTTGATCAGAAAATGTTGCTTGGGTGGTACTTGGGAACGGGAAGGGACTTCTGAAATATCAACTATTTCCTTAAGCTCAAGTCATACCTGCAGCTTAAAACCCCATTGCAAAC